GAATTTAAAAAAATCGCAAAGTACCCTATGTGTTCTTCCAGACTATCCTCTACATCTATACCAAATTTCATCGAGATCCGTTCTACAGTTAAGGCTACAAACTCTAACAAACATCCATCCATCCATCCAAACTTTCGTATTTAAAATATTATTAAATTAAAAATAAAATATTAAGTAAGATAGCTTTTTATTGGTGAAAGAATTTAAAAAGGAATCGGAATTAAGGAATTTATAATACATACAAATATATAAAAAAAATTCTTCTTTTTTGTATTAGTATAGAAGTACAGAACTATATTTGACTAATCAGTACTACACAGTAACAATTCAAAGTACTTCATATGCTGAATTACAAAAACATGATTATATATAGACTTCGCATGACGATAACACTTTACCTATTTGCCGAGAGGCGTGTCTAACAAATTAGCAGTTATCAGCAATCCTTACAAAAGATCGTAAGCTAATTAATAATGTAGAGGTAAATTGAACGATTGCTGAGATACTTTGGACAAAACAACAGAAGTAATAAAAACACAAACAAATAGGATGAGGATTGTAACACGTTGCAATGACTACCGGTCACAATAACATTGTTTTAGTTATGTCTACTAGAACATCATAGGTGACATAATAGTTTTAAACTCTTTACTTATCAAAATCTTTTCTACATTGTTGATCTGTTTAAAACTTTAGGTTCCTATAACTTGGATCCTAAAGGGACATAAGTGATCACATCATCGAATTGTTAAATAGTACAGAAAACATCACATACTAGCTGACACCCACTCCGTTCGAGTGGAATTAAAAAAACAAAAGATAGTAGACTATGTTCTATGCCAAATTTATCTAGATCCGTTCAGCTGTTTAGGCTACAAACCATCCATCCATACAAACTTTTGCATTTATAATATTAGTGCTGCACTAACCTCATAGTGGCGGTATGGTATGTCGTCGTCGCGTGGCAGCGAGGAGTTCTTCCTGCGCCGCTTCTCCGGCGGTGCGGGGGGCGCGGGGTGTGCGGGGTGCGGCGCGGGCGGCGCGGGCAGCGGCGTGCTGCCGCCGTGCGCGGCGGGCGGGCTCGCGAACTCACCGCGAGACAAGTTCTCCGCACTAACTGATGGCGTCGACCTCTCTTCCGTCTGAACAATATGAAACATCCAATGTTTATTTTTTGCATTAAGATAAATGAGTACTGAAAATTATATTTTTTCTTCTTTAAATCACATTTTCGAGGAAAAGTACACGATAGTCTTGTACTAAGATTTATAATCGTAATTCAAGACAATTTGCAAAATTGATGTGATATGTTTCCATAAAGTGCAATTAAGACGGAACAGTGTGTAAAATTAATAGATAGGCTAATAATTTCTACATAGCTATATGCATTGATTTACATAATTCTGACATAAACGTTTATACCGTTTTTGTTAATGGATAGGTGAAATCCCTCCAAGTTGATAGCGCCATAAGTGACCAATGTAACTTAAATTAAATTTTTACTGTTAAAAATTCTTTTATTATAATTCATTCAGACTTTTAGGAGAAGTTCCGTTGTGTCATTAATTTTATTGTTATTCTTTTTAACGGTGTTTTAGTGAGTACTAAAATTCGCAAGAGGAAAAACACTATTTATTTATCTCGTACGCTATCTGCCGTTAGTCTTGTAATATTATCATCACTTACTCTTTTATTTACAATATTAATTCAGCAGATACAGGTTGAAAATCAAATATATTGTTTCCTATAAGTACGGCAAATGGCATTGATTTGTTACTCTCAACATTAGAAACATTCCTAGAGATTAGATTCGTATTGGTGGAATGTAAATTTTAAGTCGCCTGTTTACGCAGATTTTATTCCTATTTAACGTACCAATACACGATTTTGTAGCTTTGCGCTTACATAAAATTGTATTCTGCAGGATTTCCGAACTGTTATAATTTTTTAAATTTTTTGTTAATTTTTTTAATGTATGTTTTCAAGTGTTACGCGGAATACGCTATCTATGTACTATAGTGTTATTATCTACATAGTAAAAAGTTGAAGTTTGTTTGCTCGCGCTAATCTCAAGAACTACCAATATTTGAAAAAAATATTTTTTCATATGTCGAGTAAATTATTTAGGTCACCTATTTAGAGTTACTATGCCAAACTTAAGACGTAATCTAAATTAGACTTCGTGTTTCCCATTAGGCCGATCGGATATACAAAATCGGCCCAACGGGAAACGTCCACATACTTTACCTTTATTATTAGGAAATTTAAGAAAATCCTTGTACTTTGACGCGTTCATTCATTAATTTGTAGATATTTTGTTCACGGTAAACTTTTTTTTTATTATTATTAGGATATACAAGTGTATGTAATGATAACCAACGAATACATTTAAATGGACTTAAAGGTGGTTGAACGCCAAATATGTCTTACAAAGGTATACGTTCTGAGAATTACAAATGGAATATTTCCCATTCATTGAACTATCAATGTCATTAGATTGCTGTAAACCTATAATGAAGACTCGCAGACACGTCCAACGGAATTTCGTTAAATTTCAATGTTTTAAATTTAGCGTAACGCTTGCAAATAAACCGGTTTGTGCAAACTAGTTCATAGAAAAGGGTGCACGTGTTCGCGACACTAGCTGGCAGACTTGGCTTATCATTTGTCACAAATATCAAGGCCACGAGAAAATATGGCGCGTCAACAAGAGAAAATTCCTTAATGCGCTTATAATTAATTACTAAGACGATCGAATATGTTGAGCTGCATTTATTAAGAAAAATGAAGGATGCAAATATATACGTAATACATCCGCGTTCCATTTACAGCATAACTGTATTTCTAACAGTACAGTAAAAGCTAGAAATGCAGCATAGACATGAAATTAACTTAAGTATTGGTTTCTTGATCAATTTATCTAAATGTTGTTGATACAAATTATCATAATATCAGATTTAATTAACCTTTAAGCAGTGCATTTAACAATTTGCATTATTTAAACTATTGGAACAACAAATCTAAACTCATCAATAATAAATTTAAACATAAACTAAAATAATAACAATTACAATTGTAAAATTATATTTACCTTAGGATTTAGTGTATTGTTTTCTGTCAAACCTCTAACTTGTAAACTTTCAGCAGTCTTTAGGAACATAGGTAGCATATTTTGGCCAACATTTACTTCACCCTGAAATAATTCAATATTAATTAATTAAAACATTAAATTATTCTTGATTTTATTTATATTTTTGGATAATTATTACCTTGTACATAAAATCCAAGAGCGACTTCATCTCTGAGAATCGCACATCTTTTAAAAATATTATGGGATGCGGGTGAGAGTTTTGCAAAAATATGGTCTCAAAGTATGGAGAACATGCTGACAGAATTGTCTGGTGCGCCTGGAACAAATTGTTACATTTTACTTACTAATCATCCACTTGCCCTTATCTCTTAAGGAGGGACGGCACAGTATGTGCTGCTCTTCCATACATCTCTATCAGCCGTGATATCTGAATCCTCCTTTCTTAAGGCTATTACATTTTACTTACTAATATGTATTAATGCAAATGGATGGATGGATATAGATAAGTTGTCACCTAACTCCTAAATTTTAATGGAATTTGGTAAGGATTTATATTACAGCCTGAAATAAACCATAAACTTGTGTACCATTATTTTATTTCCCGCCGTCAATGTCGCGGGCGTCAGCTAGGTACAACTCGCGATATAATGTATTTACATATGTTAATATAGGAGAATAAAGTTAACATAAAATAATCTTATATACAAATAAATGTAATTTAATGAGTTTGAATTTGAACATATAATGAACTGTGTAGTCTAGACACATCTATGCATCTATTTATAGACTGATAAAATTTGTGTAACTATGATAAAAAAAACACATTTGACATTCCCTTTTTAAAATTTCAAACTACAATGCATGGATATAATTCTTTTTCTTTTTTAGTACTACAGCCCATTGTGGGCCTTGTCTTGGTTGAGTTACTTCCACCTTGGTCTGTGGCCATTCTCCAGTTCACCACAATGCTTACAGTTTGCACCTTATACCCGTCTAAGTGGGGTATAAAGTCATCGCATAATAAGGGTTATGTACATATTTAAAATGCATACTATATGGCATTGATTTTTAATATCTTTTACTTTTGTTATTCCAAAGGTAAGTAGTAGTAAATTTTGTAAGGAGTTATAGAGAAAATGATTGATATTTATTTCTAAACTAGCTTGCGCTTTCGACTTCGTCCGCGTGGAATTAAAAAAAACGAAAGTGAGTAACCTATGTGTACTTCCAGACTATCCTCTACATCTATACCAAATTTCATCGAAATCCGTTCAGCCCTTTAGGTTACAAACTCTAACAAACATCCATCCATCCGTACATCAGAACTTTCACATTTATAACATTACTATGATATGGAATTGTTATCTATATTTAAATGAATTTATTAAAACTGTACTATAGTACAATTATTTATATGTTTAACAATATGTACAATATTTGTTATATATAGACTACTACTGATATTCATTGAAATATGACAGAAAAGACATAAGACATTTTCTTAGCCACCCAGTCGAAGCTGGGGCGGAATGCTAGTTTGTTATAAATTGATTTGGTATTTAAATGCATAAGGAACTGTTACAAACTGATAAAGTGGGTTATTCAGTCTGCCAAAAGATATGCAATGGATTGGTCTTCTAGACCCTAAAACCAGACAAACAAGTGTTATAAAAATTAGAAAGTTAACAACATGCAGCTCTTATGCAGACTACCTAACATACAGGCAGTGAATAGCACTGGCGACCTACAAACTAAATTGCATTTTATTAGCATAAAACTTCAAACTTTCAACATTCGTGAATTTTAATAAGTTAAAGTAATAATTTGTTAAGTTATAACAACCAATAAATAACAACACCGGAGAAAATGCCTTAAATGGATTTCATAAAATAAAATTTCATATATCTGTTTCATAGACACAAAATTATATTAATACTAGCTTTCGCTTGCGACTCTGTCTGCTTGTAATTAAAAAAAAAAACAAAAGGAAGCAGCCTGTGTGTTAATCCGGGCTATCTTCTAAATCTCAGCAAAATCTGTTCAGTCGTTTAGTCTACAAACTCTAACAAACATCTATCCATCCATCTAAACTTCCGCATTTACAATATTAGTATGAAATATGAAGTGTACATGTCTAAAAATAGTTTTTTTTTTTACATTAAATGGATCTTTTTTTGTCTTAAATGTCAATTTTAGATTTTAGACTTAAAAATATTGTAATGTATAGGTGAGTATTGAATAGGAAAATTGTCTTTCTTGAGTTTAGACCTATACCAATAGATCAATACCATTGAGATATGAATCTTTACATCTATATGTAAATTACAAAATTATATTTCTAAACTTGTTTCTAAAATAAAATTATAATAATTGTTCCAATTTTGACCTTTCGTTTAATAATAAAAGTGTGCTATAATTAGTTTTTTTAAATTCATAACTAGAATATATCAGACCTTAACAAAATCAATTATTCCCCTTGAAAAGCATACAACCTTTGTAGTTTATGCAAATTATACTCAAGATTTTAAGACGACACAACAAAAAACAATTTGTGTAAAAATAACCTTGCAGAATTAGCAAATATTTGAATATATACAATGTGGTCTGCCTTGATTTAATGGCTCATATGAAGGCAAAATTACTAGTGATTATGATATTTTATAAGTTTTGACTTCCACTGTCTTATTTTTTAAGAATTCATTTTATAGTATTAAGAAATGAAGAAATAATACAATTAGTAAATTGATTGATTGAATGATTCATATTTATGAATTAACAGCTTAAATGTAAACTGAATTATAGATGCATTATGTCTGTTACTCAACTTTGTTTACTATTGTATGCAATTTGTTATGACATAATAAACAGCTGCTCTAACATGTCAACATAATATATTTAATTCATGAATGCAAGCATTGTATCAACATGACAAACACAAATAAATAAATACATGATGCATCTATCAAAGCTTTCTATTAATTTTTTGCTATACTGAAAATAATATAAAGATCAATGAAAAATCAAAATAATTAACAGATATAAATAGTAAAAGAGGAAATACAATTATAGTATTTTTTTTTCTGGTATTCCGGCAGAGGAGATAAATTTTTATTTAAAAAATTAAATTAAATGCCCTTATGTACAGTTATGAAAGTAGAGTTAAAAGTTAGTTTAATGAATTTAACTTACCTTGACTGTCTCCCCGTCACAGGCAAGTGTGACATCGCAGAGTGCCTCGCGCTGGAGAAGGCTTGCAAGCACATCAGTCAGATTGTTCGGATGGTTGTTCCAGCGCAAACAGAATTGCTGGTCCATTGTGGGTGCTAATGTCAGTGACCGTGCTGTAAACAATCACATTTTAACTAAACACAGTATATTTACCGCCAAAAAGCGCCACAGAAAATTATCAAATTTTAATAAAATTCAAAAGTTAGGAATGCTGTGTTGAAGACTAAAATACTTGTATCATAAACCTTGGTAATATTTAAATCCTCTGGGTAATTAGACACGTGCGCTGTTTATCAAATACACATTAAAGCCACTATGTGCAAAAAAATTGCGGCCATAGGGCTTAGATAGTAGAGCGCAAAGATAAGTGACATCAGCGGCTCGAATTAATAGGGGCCGCGGGCCGCGGGCAGCGAGCTTACTGTACTCAACATTGACAGTTAGCCCGCCGACACATATCTACTTGTTGCATGCTCCAACCGAGACCCCTACATTATGTAATTTAACTCCAGAAGACACACGGCGGGGCCACCGACCCTACGGGACGCGAAAACCACTAGCCGCCTCTATAAAACGAGTTTAGAAAAGTAGTACCGCTGGCCAAAAAAATCGCAACATGCTGACACCGTTATAATCGCCAAGCTGGATGTGCCAGTTGCTAATCAACGCGTGCTTTCAGGAATTTGTAGATGCACTATTATTGTACTGATCACAGAACATCCCGCATGCCTTGAAATTGATGATCGAAGGACAAACGGGATTTCTAAACGCGTAGTTGTGTCAACTTTAGCTATTCGTAGCGCCATTTGCCGATCCCGTATCTCGGTATCTTAAAATTATCAATCATCAACGAAATTTTCTCTAACACACTATTAATTCACTAACACAAATCAGAATAAACTTCCTTGTTCACAAAGTCAATAATTCCTAACTCACCATTTGCAAAAATTTTGCCATCACAAACGCCACCCGACCCCTACCTTGCACTGTCTTTTTGACCACACACACATCTCGATTTCCGTGTTCACTCACGGCACCTCACGGCCTTCGGAATATCTTTCACATCATAATCGGCCCGTATTCGCAAACGCGAACTTCATTCGTATCTAAGCGTGGCGCTAAATTTAAAATTTGCAAATTGTGTTTGTCCCAGACAAGCGTATTTTTTGTAAATATTCTTTCATTCAGTGTTTTAAATACCCGAGAGTATGTATTTTCTATCATTTAGAATAGTAAAATTAATAACATACTCTTTAAAAACAGCTAAAACGTTTTTCGTGCAAAATCCATAGATACCGAATTGAGGTTATGAGATGTGAAAAATAAAACGGAATTTATGAAATACTATGGTAAAGCCTTATTATTTAATACGTATTAATAATAATTACGTTAAATACAATGTAATTTATCAATAAAACTAGCAATACCAAGTAATACAATAAATTATTAACATTGGCCTTGACATTTTTGTTATCACAATTCGCAGATTCGCACATCTGCCTCGGTCTCTGTTAGCGCCATCTATCTGACAACGAGTAACAAACAAGCACGTTTCGTGTTTTTGAAATACGCAGTAAGATGGCGCCCCTAATGTTTGCACGTGCGAATACTTTTGTTTAGGACAATCACCTTTCAATATACCTATTTGTTATCTACATTTTGGTTGCTTGCCTACTTCGTTCAGTTTTTTACAAGGCATCTTTTAAATTATTCGTCATGTGACTATTGACTGTATAAATATGAAGAAAAGTTCAATTAGGAGTTGAATCATTAAAAAATTCTAAACATACAATAATAAAATGAGCAATGTCTACTACACAATAAAATATGTTATACCTAGAGACATAAATCCAGGAAGCCCAAAGCCACACATAGGCATAAGTTCAACAGTTTGTCTCTTGCGGAACAAATTGTAAAAACGTATCTTGGAGTGTGAATCTCATACCTACTAAATATACAAAATCGGCTTCATTTTGGAACGTTTAATTTGTATTAAACATTCTGTTTAGAAGTTATTAATTTACGACGCAATAAATAACAATAAGGAACATTACCATGTAAGGAATAAATGGAAGTCGTCATTTTTCTACCACATTCAACTTCAACCAAATAGGATAGAATGAAGATTCGATGCGTTTGTTACAATAAGTAAGTACAACTAATAAACGCCTATTTTATACTTAATATTTGGCAAGATTATTATTCCATAAAGGATGTAAGCACAGATATGAATTATGTAGCCGAATCTTTATATGGGAGGGTAGTAAAATGTTAATGTTAAAATGTAAAAAAACCTTACGTTAATCAAATTCGTGGTTAGTGTTTCAAAGTACTAGATTGTTAGTATTGTGATTTTGGTTCACAGAATACACCGTGCGTGCCAATTTAAAAATGTGTAACGAATTCGCCGCCTAGATAGAACGAGACGGGCGACCTCATAATCATGAGTGGGTTATTGAACTTAGTAATAAATAAATCAGTGTATGGGCCATACGGCATACCGATTTCAGAACATTGAATTTAGACCAATCTAGATATTTAGATTGTACGTTATATACGACGAATCCAACAGACAATTTTAGTGTTTTTACGATTTTTTTATAAATCTTTTCAAAATTTTACTACCTTTTGTTAGTAACTTAGTTCACTAAATCTGAATCATGCTGTATGTTTTCCTATACTATTACAGCGCCCCTTCAAAAACCATTTCCTTGTACAATTTTCATTAAATTCCATGAGTTTTTATCTAGGTTTGTGGTCAGTAGCAAATCTTAGCAAGGAGTTTAGCAAAGCTTTCCGTTGATTATGATCGTGATGAGAGTGGCTGAGCGTGTCAGTTGGTAATGTAATGCAGTGCAAATGAGTCAATCTCGACGGGGCCGGGTGGTCACAGGGCCATTAGGAAATCGATTTGTTCTCAACCCCATCGACATCTACGTTAAACCATTTCGATTGTCCGGATAATGGAGAACGCGAATTTAATTAATTATTACGTTCTATGTTAGATTAATTCTTATGCCCGGTTCACACTTGGCCAGTACGGTTGGACAGTTGCGACAGCCAGTTATTGGTTGTATGGACTCACTGGCGCCAGTTAGCGTTCACACTGTGCCAGTTAATTGATATCCAGTTATTGAATGTTACTAACCCAACATTACTGGCCAAGTGAAAACCGCGCATTATCAATTTTACACATATGTCTGTCTATTTTGTTTTTTAGCTCTTTAATTGTTGTTAGTGTAACGCCTAGAGTCCTTGCCATAAATTTCTAAGATGTGAATTGAGTATGGAGGTGAATCATCTATTTAACAAATCTTAATTAGAATGGTTAACAAGAATATTTGTAAAACTGTTTGCAAAACTTGTTAGTCTTCTTTATAGGATTTTATAATAGTGTGATTTATGTTTTGATAATATTTTATGGACGTTAAAATATAATATAAAATGAATATAGTTAGTCTTAAATATGATTTTTTAATTATTTGATAACTAGGTGCTAGACACCGTCGTGTTACTTTTAAATTTTGATTAGGTTGGCATTACCTAGGATATTGTCTGCGGTTTTATTCATTTGTTGAATTTCAATACATGATCCACTTTATTCTCGTATTCTCTATTATATCATGTATGTAGTTATGTATATTCTTTTCAGTACAACGTCAGTTGCTTTTATAATTTGATTTTCATTTGTTACATAAAATTGTTAATAATAAAATTTATGTAAAAAATCAAATTGTAAAGTAGCCTAATTCGTTTCTCATTCTAATATGATATTAATTGAATTTAACGAGATGACTTTGATATAAGGGTTGGTTTCTACTGTCTACTGGATAATTTTTGATAAAAACATATTTGAATCCGTTTCACAAGAACAAACAGCGATATGTTTTAGTAAACGTGTTATGACAGTAGATTTTGACGGTAAGAAAAACCAGAGAAGATAATTTTCGTATAAATTGCATGCAGATTTGGTACTGCGTCGTCGGTGTTACCGGCAATATAATAATCACGCGAGAGGAAAGTCACGACTACACTTAGTTTTCCAATCTAAACAATAGAAATTCAACGGGTGCGCGACCCGCGGGACGCTAATCCATCTCTATGTAAATTATGCTGGAAATAACAACTTGTACCTCATCAGGCGATCATGACACGCTGTATTATACTATTATGGCACTTCTCAATTTTTTATTTTCCTAACATTACTCGAAAATGACTTATGACACTAATACTAAATTCACATTTTTATGTTTTGTGTAGTGGTCATAGTTTTATATCATTCAATGATAATTGTTTATTCGATTGCGGAAATTAACGTTTTTGTATCACTTTACAAAAGGAAAAGGGTATAATGGCGTCAGTGAAATAACAGCTCTCCTTTTTAAAATAATAGCAATTTTTTAAAAAACTTATATTTGCCTTGTACTTATTACAGGCGCCTGAGGATTTAAATATTTACAAGATTTTAGATGTCTGTTCAGATTTCCAATCATTAAAAGTGTATTAACACTTTTACGATGTAAGATACTAACCGTAGCCGTGTATAAAAAATAAAGTTGCTTTCGCAGTAGCAAAGCACGCACAGCACATTGTGCAAACACATCTTTTCGTAGCAGCCGTTGACCTTGTACATCTTCTCAAAAGCTGTTGAAAGAACTATGTAGGCCTACATTATTTTACTACAGGACACGAAAGGATATAGTGATAGTTTATAAACTATGAAATAAATAGAACGATCGATTGGAAAGGAATAAACTTAATAAAACAAAATAAAAACCATGGTACACTTATTCTGAAGGATATGGGAAATTTCCCCATTCCCTTCACTTTAATGATTATTTTATTATGATGTTGAACAAATTTAATATATCTTTGTAGTTACTTTTATAATAAGTGATACTTTTACGTGAAAAATGTAAAATTTTTAATTGTGTAAAAGTGATTTTAAAATCAACGACAAATAAAACATTAAATAGGTTCTGGCGCGTAATTAACACTTTAAATTTAGGGTGACACTGAAATCTGTGGTGTAGTGCCTTTAAGCTTGTAATGCAGTGTGGTGCTACTCATGACCGCGCCACATAAATTTCATTAAATGCAAACGTGCCCGGTTGCCCGTTCACTTTTACATAGTTAAAAGTTTGATACTGACGGAAGGACATATTACATAGTTTATAAATAGAGTTTCGATATTTAAATACTGAGCACTGATGTATTTAACTAATTTAATTTGTGCAAGCGAAGAAATTCAAGAAAACTTTAAACATTTTTACATTATTTTAAAAACTTTTGGGGGCCAAAGTTTCTTCGCCATTCTTACAGTTTCTTAGCAAAGTTTCGTCAAAATCTATCAGGATTATTTGTTTTTTTCTAGTGCAAATTTTAATCTTCAAAGAAATCTTCTTGTCCTCGATCACGGATATTGGTAATTTCTTTTTTTGAATTTTGGGAATGTAAGGTGACAACATGATGGGAAGTTTCGACTGTCGATACACTTGTATAAAAATATATTCTTTCCTGTCATTGTCTTTTAAAATATTTACGGCTGAATACTGAAGAATGAACTCATTCTAAGAACCTTATGAAGCGAAGTGTAATTCGTTTCAGTATGTTGCGTTGAGAATACTTTTATAATACAAGTGTCACGGCAGTCGAATTTCAGATACATTTATGTATGTATTCGCTTTGCCGTCGGGTACAATCGCAAGCACCTGTAAAATAAAAAGTCTTGGTTATTAATGAAGAAATAAAAACAATTAAGTTTGTCGATTTTAATTTTGTTTTCACTTCATTTGCTATTTGTCTTCATAAATTAGTTGAAAAATGTCATCACAAATGTGAAACAATAATGAATGCATAGATCAGAACGCATGTCATACAACTTTAGTTATATAAGAACACTAGCTGTTCCCATGTGTTATGTGTTATGTGGTTTTATCCGCATGTGATTATAAAAACTTTATTTTATGGTTTACATTTGTTGAATTATCAATAGCAAATGACATAACATGATGACAACCTTGCTTTCTTGATGTTGGCAGCAACTTATGGTCTCTTACCATTAGGGATTTTATCCAAAATATTTACCCCCTAAGTTTAATGGCGTGAAAATATATAGCCTAAAGCTTGATGTAAGTGTAGGGCTTTTAATTAATATTTAAAAAGGGTTATTCGAAAATATGCTGTAATTGCTGACATCTTAGGCAACAAA